CTCATCAGCCCCAAGATGTACGGGATTCCTTGAACATCTTTCTCCTCCCAGTCATCCCTCTTGTCCAGGTGGAGGGCATAGGTCATCCTCACCTTGTTTCTGCTTTCCATGATTAACGCGCCTCTCTCATAACTCCGACTTGGGTTTGCAGGGACAAAACGGGAAGCAGAGGACCATTAATATTTCTCACGAGATTTCGTCGGGCTGTTTTCACTTGATCACGACATTGGTTCTCAGCCACGCACAAAATAGACCCCAGAGTAACTAGAAAAGATTACATGGATCAGGCAGATGACTGTAGAGAACAAATCTGTTGTAGTGGCCAGGAATAAGGCTTGTTTGTTTGGAGACTTAAATAGAGCCGTCAAAAGGGGGAAAGGGGTCTATACCCCCAAACGAGATAATGGTCGAATGTAAGATTTCTTGCTAACTACAAGCTTTGATTGTTGTATCGCGTGATGGGTCTATAGGTGCTGATACTCAGGTAAAGGCCCGTCCAAACGAAACTTCATCCTGGAAGCTGAGACTCTGGGCTCAGGGTGAGTCTGATTGCGGCTCGTTAGGTCCCATTACGAGGTTCATACATTCGGTACCGTGAATCCGAGTGTGATTGAGTATTGTCGGCTCAGCCACTTATACGCCGCGTGGTATCAACCAGGGTACCTAGCTCAATACTCGACCCTAAGTATAGCCCACTTGTACTACACATACAGATCAAACTCATTAAGCCACTCTAACTAAAAGTCCGCCGTGGCTAGAGCTCAGAGCCCGGGTTTTTCACCTAAAGACTCTGACTCCTGGCACTTGACTAATCCGTACTCAAATTCGGTGAGGACTGATAGGAACAGGGTCTCTGAGAAAATTGCCCTAGTGCTCACGCCGCTGTTTGATTACGCATAGGTCAACTAAGGGCAAGGGTCTCTTGAGAACAGGAAGGAGGAGTGCACGCAGCGCACTCTCATAACATAATTATGACTCTGGTGGTTATAATGGGATACTCAGGTTTATTTCCTTTGAGTTGAAACTTGCGCCGATCCGAACAAAATAGACACTTAGTCACCATCAAGTAGGAATTTAGCGAGGACATAAGATATCCTCCTCAGTATTGCCTTTCTTTTCTCCATCCACTCAAAAGTCAAGGCATAGATCATCACCAATGGAAATCGTCCCTATGTTCCCCTTGACATACAAGCCCACTCGGCGAGCCCGGAAGCAGACCTGCATACTCGGACAAATACCTGCTTGCACTCATCAAACTCGCAAAAGCATTCAAACATGCATTCGTCTACTCACATGGACACTTGCAAGCTTATATGGTAATGCACTCAAATTTTCTCAGGTCACAAGTGAACTCGTACAACTACAAGCATGCATTTGAACGGTCGAGCATATGTAAGCCAACGTGATCATACACTCATGCAGTCACCTGGTGCAGTCACACGGTGCAGACACACGGTGCGGTCACATGGCACAACCACGCGGTGTAGTCACACGCAAAAGAGAAGGAAAAATAAGGGTCCGAATCCCAATTGTATTTGTAGTCTCTGTATTCGCAGGGCTTAAGCACACGAATACGAGCGTTGCATATCTCTTTGGCCTTGCCAAGTAATCGAGTAAGCCACTCAATGCAAGTAGTACATCCAATAGACAAGCGCAGGGTCATGCCAATACCAAAAATATCCAACTCCAGCCTTGCTAATCACTTAAACTGGCCGACCGTACTTTGGGTTCCCTCTGAGGCCAGCACGTTTTGGACCGTTGTTATGTGTTGGGGCTACTCCCCTGTTCGCTCGCTTACACAGTCTACTGAGGGCTTAACCTTTGTGACGACGCAACATGATCGGTTAGCACCGATCAATCGCACTAATTAACCAAACTAGGAAGGGAACTAAATTAATACAAACAAAAGGGAATTATTTGCGATAGCCAGCATCTTATCTGAAGATTCGGCCAAGACGGTTATAGAGAAGCGCGTCGATGACCCTTGATAGCAATGTCCTTTACAGGTTGAAAGTCACTTGAAGGTGGCAAGACAAGTGGTCATCAGAGCGAGTGTGCTAACCAGGTAAGTAAGATCGCCTTCAAAGAGCGAGAGGCCCCTCTCTCTCTCTGGCCTCATCGCCACCGATCTTCTTCCACGAGTCCTCATAGCTCAGACGTCTATTTTTGCATAGAGCCCAATGTTCGTCCTATCACGTGCGTCTTGCTCAGACATAGGTTGCTTTTGCTCGGATACATTGATGTAAATGGTGAGCTTACACACGCAAGCCTTTCCAACTCATCCCGCTTACTCAGTCACCTGCATTCTCGCGTCCCTGCTCAGGCCCTTTCTTGTCTATTTTCTCACGACTCACTGAGCAACTAGCTCGTGGCCTTGCAAATCATGCATGCACCAATCAGAGTAGATGTGTTAAGCCTTCCTCATCAGTTTGTATAGAACATGACGACATCCAGTGAGGATAAGCGTGAGGGAGTCCGTTCTGCGGCAGCATGAGATAAT